CTCTAGCTTTGTCACATGCCTCGAAATTTATTAACTGTATTAAGTAAATAACGATCCAAAGAAAGCTGTACTCGTAATTTGGTCTAATTTTCTGACCATCATTTATCTTTTACATCATACTTTCATACTAATATTATAAATGCGAATGTTTGGATTGATGTCTGATGTTTTTTTGAAGGTATTTCCGGAACGGCTTAACGGATCTTGATAAAATTTGGCACTGATGTGGAACTTAGTCTGGAAGAACACATAGGCTACTCATTAAGTTTTTTTTAATTTCGCGCGGACGGAGTCTTGGTCTGCTAGTATTGTATAAAAATGGCAGTTTTACTTACGTGGCAGCGGTTGTGAATTGATCGAGGATGATTTGATGTCTTCATTAATACTCGGCTCTATAACTGCAGGAACATGACTTACGAGACCTTCGGTAGGTGTGGGTGAAAGTAACGAGCTGGTTGTTGAACTCACGTCCGATATAGATGATTGTATAAAATGCTCCGCTGCGGTTTGATTCTTCGAATTCTTGATTGGTTTTTCTTCTACAACTTTTTGTTTATCTTTGGTTTGATTATCCTTTTTATTATTGAGTTGTGCATCTTTTTCCTTATCTTTTTCTGGTTTGTTAATAAATGGTTTCTCCGTTGTGGGCTTCTCAGTGGTTGTACGAAATTTCTCTTTCGGTGGTTGCGTTGGTGGATGTGTGGGAGGTTGTGTTGGTGGCGGTTTTGTGGTTGGCGGTTGCGTTGGAGGTTGTGTTGGGGGTTCAGTTTGTTTCTCGGTCGTCGTCGTTTTCTCAGTCGGTTTCTCAGTTGTTGTCGTTGTCGTTGTAGATGTTGTAGTAGTTGTTGGTTCAGTTGTTGTTGTTGTGGTTGTTGTTGTTGAAGTTGTAGTTGTTGTAGTAGAAGTTGTCGTATCTTCTGAGGCAAATTGAATTTCTTCATCAACTTCTGGCGTATTTGTTTCTGGTACGTTTTGAGGAATCGTTTCCTTATCTTCGTGGTGTATATTATTTTCTAAATGACCACTTTCATTTTCATTTACTACTTCTTCAGGATCACCATAATCTATGTTAGGGATATCAATCGGTGGAG